AGATATATATTTATTTATTTATTTATAACCAAGGGGTACAATCTTCTGTTATCGATCATCCCATCATAAAGGTAAACTAATAATAATTTATATCTATATTTATAAGTTATAACCTATAAGCTATAATTCTATAATAATAATTAAGCTAATATTTTCATTCGATTTATTTTTATTTTTACTTTTTCCCTTTATCTACTATTGTAAGCTACTCTACTATTCTATTCCAACCATGTTATATTCCATACGCAACAAATTCATTTCTAAATAATAAAGAAATTGGGACAGACAAACACAAAGCTGTGTCCTTATGCTAGTTTCCATAGAATACATCTCAAAAATATAAGTAGATGAAGAGAAAATTGTGTCCATTTTTCATTTGGTGTAAAATGTAACAATAAGGATATAAATTAGGATCTTATACAATCTACCAAGTATATTTTTGGATTAGCGTTGGAAAGCTATAAAATGGTGGTTCACTGTTTCAAAGAGTAAAACAACATTTTTCGAAGCACATCTCAAATTTTTGTCACTAAGCCGTTTACATAATCATTCTTTTTATTTTGTAAGAAAGTTGTTGGACATAAACTTTTGAATCAAGAGTTAAACCTACACTCTTGTTTTAAAAAGTATTTTTAACTTTTGAAAATAAAATATTTCTAATGCTCTATTATTAAATATTAAATACTAGTAATAAAAAACTATTTTTGGATTATTTACCAAAAGAAAAACAAAAAGCTTTTTATTATTATTATTATTATTTTTTAAAATATGTTTTCGAAAGAAGGTATATGTCCAAAATTGAGTCCGATTGAATGAATGTACCTGCGGTGTATATCTAAACCCGCTCTGCATCGCCGTCAACTCTTTCTCTCACTCTCGCAGATCGCACACAAGAAAGAAAGACCAGAAACCCTGCTACTGCCACCGCTCTAGCTAGGGTTTCATTTCACCCTCTCTCAACAATTACCTCATGGAATGCTGATCATCGCTCCACTCAACTCCGCCAAATCGCATCGGAGCCAATTCCTCGGCATATGACATGAAACCTCTTTTTCTGCTCTCTCTGCTGCTTCTCCACCACCACGCCGCCTTCGTCCTCTCCGATGATTCCAACACCAAAAACACCTTCCGCCAGCGTGAAGCCTCCGACGATTCCCTCGGATACCCCGAAATGTACCACTCTCATTCCTCACTTTCGATTATAAGCCTTGTTCGGTAACCTTTGTTTAATTCCGGAATTGATCGCTTTTTCTCCTAAGCTATACAAACTTATCGTTATTTGAATTTCTTCAAAACATGATGAGCCAATCACACATTTTAATTAGGACATACCTTAGATACAGTGATTTATGTACTTTTGGTGTAATTTGGTTATTTATGATAATTGAAATTCCACTCTGGTTATTCACTTAATTAAGGACAACATAGGTTATCATGCTGAAACTCGAATTTTCATTAGAGAATAGTTCTAGAAGAGAAGTATCTAAACAGCTGCATTTGAGTTTTGTCATTTCAATTTCTCTGCTTCGTGATTGTTTTCTTTTTGTTTTGTCGTGGGTGTGGATAGAGATGAGGATGCACTTGTGAATTCGAAGTGCCCTAAGAATTTGGAGCTCAGATGGCAAACGGAAGTTAGTTCCAGCATCTATGCGAACCCCTTGATTGCTGATATTAATGGGTAAGTTTTTCCGTGCTCTGCTCGTTAAGTGATCTGTGTTTGTGTGCTTGTGTCAAATGTCTGCATTTTTGTTTTGCAGTGATGGGAAGCTTGAGATTGTGGTTCCGTCTTTTGTTCACTATCTTGAGGTGCTAGAAGGTGCTGATGGGGACAAAATGCCAGGTAAATGATTGTGGGATTTTGCTATTTTCTTATTGTGGTAGCCTTGCATCGATGAGATGGTAGGACCTGCGAAATTTATAGAGGATGAAACTTGTTCCTTCCCCTGATGGTATTTACTTTATTATGGTTTTGTTGTAGAGTAGATAGGTTTAGGTTGATTTGGTTGTATTTGATAATGTGGAGTTAGGCTTGTGATTAACAAGGCCTTGAGCATAGTAAGTTTTGCCAGGTATACGAGATGTAAGAAGTACCTAAGATGAGCACTTACAGGTATAATGTAACCATAGAGAAGCAAAAGATTCAAAATCCATTACTTATTCGTAACATGTCCGGAATGTTTATTCTAATCACTGCAATTGGCATGTGCCTAATTTGCATCACACCTGGAAGTAAATAATAATGGGGTAGCTCTAGCACATATAGCAGTTTACTTGAGCTACATGGTGGATTAAACATGGATAATGACCTATCATTAGTAATGTTGAATGATTATAGGCAAAGTTTGGTTTTGGTTGCTAATTGCATAACAGAACCCTCATCTTTTGTCTGGGCTTGTGATGTATAAACTTTGGCAAAAAGGTATGATGTAGACCCTTAGACGTGGTTGTTCTTGGTACTGAAAACATATTTGACATTGCATGTCCCCAGCACTAGTAACTTGTTAATAAGGCCTACCATTCTTCATGGCTTCTGCTTAAGGGACGATAGGAAATTATATTGGTATGAAAGGTGTTGGTGGGGGAGGGAATACTGAAAAGGAACAATTATAATGTGATGTTCTTATTTGTATAAACTGATAGCTAATGGTTAGGATCAAGGCTTGTCCTTATTGTGATAGACCTTATGTTCGATTTGAGTTTCATAAAAAATAATCTTCTGAGATTGCTTTTAGGCTGGCCTGCTTTCCACCAATCAACTGTCCATGCTAGTCCTCTTCTATATGACATTGACAAAGATGGAGTGAGAGAAATAGCTTTGGCAAACTATAATGGCGAAGTCCTGTTTTTCAGGTGATTTTGTTTCTTTATATTTTCAAATATTTGCGTGTATATTACCTATTACTTGAGGTGCTTTTATCAAGGTTGTAATAAGTTATCATTTCTAGGGTTTCGGGCTATATGATGTCAGATAAGCTGGAGGTCCCACGTAGGAAGGTGCGGAAAAATTGGTTTGTGGGCTTGAATCCTGACCCAGTGGACCGTTCTCATCCAGATGTTCATGATGAACAACTTGTCCAAGATGCTACTATCAAGAATTCTATGTATCGTAAGTTTCTTTTGTGCTTACTGCTCAGATCATTGTTGTGCAAGTATATGGTTTAGAGGCTCTCAACTTCTCATATTTTCATTATCAACCTAATATAATAGCTTTCATCACAGGTTTCAACCATTGTGTAGGCTTTATGTGTTGTGAAATGTACATTTATATAATATAATATAAATATAATATAGTATAGTTAGTTTTATCTGTGTTGTGATTCTCCTTTTGTAGAAATGAATGCAAGTAGACAAGAAGCCAAATCTTCAGCTGCCACATCAACAGAAAATCACCCTGACATAAAAAAATTGTCTAATCCTGAGCCAGAAAAGAAATTAAATGGAAGTCAAGTAGACACGAGTGTTAAGGTGTCTAATCTGGAGCCAGAAAAGAAACTAAATGGAAGTCAAGTAGATGAGAGTATTAAGGTGCCTAATCCTGAGCCAGAAAAGAAACTAAATGAAAGTCAAGTGGATGACAGTATTAAGGTGCCAACAATTGGTGATAATTCCACTGCAAATGCTGGGTCTTCGAAAACTGTTAATGCAGATAATAAAAACAACACTGGTAGACGTCTTTTGGAAGATAACAATCACAAAGGTGCAGAGCAAGATGGTTCTGAATCCAAAAATAATGAAGGTATTCATGCTGCAACTGTGGAAAATGAGGAAGGCCTGGAAGCAGATGCTGATTCATCTTTTGAGTTATTCCGTAATAGTGAAGAGCTGGCTGATGAGTATAGCTATGATTATGATGATTATGTTGATGAATCAATGTGGGGTGATGAAGAATGGACTGAAGTTCAACACGAAAAATCAGAGGATTATGTCAATGTTGACTCTCACATCTTGTGCACTCCGGTGAGTTCCTGCCTTTTCCTTTTATTAATATAAAAATTATTAATTTTTCATTCTGCTTTGTTCTAAGGAAAAAAGTATAAACTAAACAATCGCTTTTCCACTTTGTCTTCTTGCCTTTGCCAGGTTATTGCAGATATAGACAATGATGGTGTTTCAGAAATGATTGTTGCTGTTTCTTATTTCTTTGATCATGAGTGAGTCCATCTATCCACTTGTTTTTTAAATTTCAATTATACTTCTGCTTGGTTTTTCTGTTTTGACAATTACGTGATTGGAATTCATTGTTAAATAAATAAGTTGCATGCTGTACAGCTTTTTTCTTGTCATTCAATATGATCATCCTCGTTAACATTTTCCTTTTATTATTGTTTAGTAAGGTAATAATCATCTTAATTCTTAGTAGTTCTTTAGTTGGTTATCACTTATTTGTCCATTGTCACTTTCTTTGACACCTATGAGGCTTGAGGCCCAGATGTGTATCATCATGAAATGAATAATAGATGAAAAATTGCTCCCTACACACTTCAGTGTTACTGACATAAATTTAGTATATAGATGACTTCAACTCAACTTGTTGGACAGACGGTATTGGGAACAGAAGCCCAATTAAGCCTGTGAAGTGTATTCTGGGCTTCTGGCTTCCCCTGGTGACCTTTTGCATTATTAGATAGCTAACAATTTAATGTTTCTTATTATTATTAAGTTGTTGTTGTTGATAGAAAGATGAATATAATTATTAAGGTCTTTCTGATTTTGTATATATCAATAATCAGCTACAAGATGAAGTTGTGGGCAACTGGGCATAGTAATGATGTTATAAAGCAAAAGAAAGCAATAATTATAAAGATGATCTTGTTTTGTGTTTTTTACTTGGTACTTCAGATATGATAAAAGTCACATGAAGGAAGCTTTGGAGATGTAATGTGTTTTCAGATAATGGTTATTAATCATATTTTCAGAGAAAAGAACACCATTGAAACTTATTTTCTTCTTTTTGACTTATTTTATTGTATGTATTGAAAATTGTTGAGGCAACACTAAAGAGATACCAAGTCATAGTATTTTTACTTGAGCTAAATTCGTTCAATCATTTTTTTGCTTCATTTATTTGGTTGCCAGACTGGTCATGCTTGTTATTTTTCATTAAACAAATTTTTGAGAATTTTTTAGAGCAGAATTATTGTTTACTGATTTAAAGTTCACAATAAATGCTATATGATTTCTGATATTTATTCAAGAATGAGATAGTTGGTTTTCTTACTTACATTGATGTGCACCCACAAATGAGTATTTGTTGATATACTGGTCTGTCAGTAATTATCCACCTTTTAAGCTGACAGGTATTATGACAACCAGGAGCATCTCAAAGAATTGGGTGATATTGACATTGGGAAATATGTTGCTGGTAGTATTGTTGTTTTTAATCTGGATACGAAACAAGTAAAATGGACTGCAGAACTTGATCTGAGTACAGATACTGCGAACTTCCGAGCCTTCATATATTCTTCCCCAACTGTTGTAGATTTGGATGGTGATGGGAATCTTGACATTCTTGTTGGAACTTCATATGGAATGTTTTATGTGTTGGATCATCATGGTAATTTCCAGGGACTGCTTCCTTAGTATTTCTCATTACTTGAGTTAAAAATATTTGTTCATGCTTCTATGTTGTCTACATTGATTCTCTCAGATTTTAGTTCATAACTGATTCTTGATGTTAATGTTACCTTATTTCCTCTCTTAAAACATTTCTTTTAGCTTCATGGCTTTGTTCCTCCTCCCTTGAAAGATATCTATCTTTTTTACAATCCTCTTTTTTTCTCTTCCTTTGTGCTTTGTTTTATTGCTGTTTCCCCCTACTAAATGATGTGTAGCATTGCAATATTGTACATATTTTTCCTCTGAAATTCTAAGATTGAGGACTGAAAATGTATTTTTATTTTCAGTTTCATTGATTGCAAGCTATTCTTTTAGCAGTGTCCTTATTTATTAGTCAAAACGCAAGTTTTGGAATCAAGGGCCTTTGTTTACATATATCAATTCATTGGTTAATTAAATGCTAATAGTTGTTTTTCTCAAATAGGTAAGGTTAGGGAAAAGTTCCCTCGTGAAATGGCCGAGATTCAAGGGGCTGTTGTTGCAGCTGATGTTAATGATGATGGTAAAATTGAACTAATTACTGCTGATACACATGGAAATGTTGCTGTATGGACTCCAAAAGGAGATTTGATCTGGGAAAAACATCTAAAGAGTCTTATTCCACAGGTAACGCGCTGTCTTAATTTTTCTCAGCATTTGATTGAACCTAGACTGTAATTAAACAGGTCAAAATGACAAATATTGACTTTTAAAGATGAAAGGAATAGAAAAGAAGATAGGGGAAAGTGAACGTATTAATCCAGTTTAATGTTTGGTTTGATTCCTTTGGAACAAATTGTAAATAGTTAAAAAGTTATAGTTATAATCTCCAAGTGCTAAGGGAAGCTTGGTTTGCATAAAAGACTAGAATTGTTGGATTTTATCATTTGTTTATGTCAGCTTTGCCTGTATTATTATTATTATTGTTGTTGTTGTTGTACTTTTTTTATACCTAGCATGATTCTTCTACTTCTTTCTCCCTGTTTTTTTTTTTTTTTTTTTTTTTTTTTTTTTTTTTTT